AGACTGAAATGACGTGTAGATGAAGGTCCAATTCTGTGAGTGTCCTAAGTTACTTGCAGCCTTAGCAGGCAATGCAGCAGTGACTAACTCAGAGCTAGGCTGTCAGAGCTGTTCATAGCAACTCAGCTTTCTCTGGCTTTAAAGAATTGGGATGTCCTACACTTGTGGTCTGAAGAGACTGCTGTTACGCAATGCATATTGTTGATAGGCAACCTCAGGCAGGAACATACTTAAAAGGCAAACCTGGAAGAGAAGGGGACATTTTTTAGGTGATCAACAGAGAGGAATGGCAAAGCAGAGAGATTGCTATTCTAGATGGCAGAACAGTAAAGGAGAAAGCTCTTGCATCCTTGTAGAAATACTGTTCAATGAGTAGGGCATGCATTCTGAGGAGGGGATATGGTGGTCTTGATAGAACTGTAATGGTGTGTGTCGTCTAGTACTGAATTAAATGGATGATAATTGAGCCAGCTTGTGGTGTTTCTGGATGAAAATTTTCTTCTTTTACAATAATAGAGAAATTCCTGCTGGTTTCAAGAGCAAGATTCCTGACCAAGCTATAGCTTGGAGTTAGGACCCAACAGCTGAACATCTCCTCAGTATCCTGTGGGTCTGAGTGAGTTGCTCTGTGGCTGAGCTGCCACCCAGTTAGGGGCAAGACTTCTGACCTGAACATTAATAGTTTTTTTCTTTGTTTTTTTAATTAATTTCCTTTCACAGTGAACTCCTATGGTCAGCCCCAGCCTCCCCATCTCTTCTCCGGGCCATCTCCTATGTACCAGATTTCCACCCAGGACTCTCCGGGATATAATCGCCCAGGTAAGGGGTGATGTTAAGGCACGTTACACCAATGAACATTAAAGAACTGGTTCCCAACCCCTTTATGCATTCCTCCCAAAGCACTTAGTAAGCAAATGGAGCATTGTGGGTATAGAGGGAGCATGGACTGCAAAGAACCCTCCATTTAGGGCTCTGTTATAGCTCTGGGAAGGTTTAGGATTTCAAAGGCCTGATTTCTTTCACTTCACATAAACAGTCTTCTAGCTTAGCCTCACCTTCAGTTAGTTGTTTGAAGACAACTGTACATGAGAAACTGTACATGTTGATGAAGTCCCTTGTACTCTATCAGAGTCAGCTATGAGGTAAGTAAGGGAGGCTGAAACTTAACTTCTGTAGAAGCTTCTATGGAGAATTTCACAGCAGAACATTCCCAGACACTGGTAGATGCTGACAGAGATTAATGCACAGTAGTGTTCTTGCTTGTTAGACCACTGGAAAGGAGAAGGCCCAAATCACTTTTGGTTTCTTTTGCCCAAGGGCCCACTGTGAAAAACCATGTAGTTTTTGATTCTAACTGTTCTCTTTCCTTTTTCTTCTTTTTGTGTTTGGCTCAGCTCATCATCTGGTCCCTCGGCCTCCAGGGCCTCCTCCAGGCGCCAATGAGGAAATCCCTGATGATTTCGACTGGGACTTGATCACCTAGCGAGTTACAGACTTGATAGCCCGTCCTTTATGAAGGACGTGGGAGGGGGACATGGGGTCAATGGTGTCAGCACCACCCTCCCCAGCCTCCCTGCCTTGCCTGTATATAGATATATATTCTCTATCTCCGCCAGAGAAGCCACCGCAAGATGCTGCCGAAGATAATCCTTCCTTGCGTCCTGTTTTATCTTCTTTTCTTCTTTTGTTTATTATTATTATTGTTATTATTATTATTACAAATAATTGAGCACAGCCCTCCCCCTCCTCCGGTGGCCTCAGACGCATCGGATCGGCTCTTTTGTGTTGTGCAGTGCCCTGTGGAGGGCGGGAAGATGGGTCCTTGGTGCCATGAAAAGACCTTGGAAGGCTGAATCCTCGAGTGCATCTTTCTCTGCCTCCATTTTTTTGCGTTTAACAATCCCTCTTTCCCTTCAAGGTGGCCGGTGAATCTGTCGTATTGGCTACTGGAGTGAGAGAGCCTAGTGGACCCTGGGAGCCTGTAGTTATGTTGTTTCGTAAATGTTGTAAAGGTCAGGGGGCTGAAGGGACACTGGAGGGGGGGTCTTAGCTCTGTGAACTTTGTCACACCAGCAGGAACAGCAAGAAAAGAAGTGTTCCCAAGTACAAAGAGAGGGTAATCCCTGAGGTAGGGAGAGCTGAGCTGAGCTGGGAAGGCAGACCTGAGTTTGGAGAAAGGAGAATGTAGCAGAGATGGTATTTTAGCGGAGAAGTTGGTTTTCAGAATGTGGTGCCATCTGTGAAGACTGAGAGATTTGAGGGAATCCTGACCCATTTCCTATACTGTCTTTTGCAGTCTCTAGGTGAAGCCTACATACCCATCAGGTAAAAGAAGCAGTCAGGGGTGTCACATGTGATTCAGCAAATTCTGTTCCCCAGAGCTTTTCATTTCACCCAACACCCCTTCAAGCCCTTTTTCAAAATATATAGAGGCTCTCCCTTTTATATGCAAATTTGGAAGTTTTCTCCCATCAGTATTTGTTCAATTGTTATTTGGTCCTCCACCCCTCATATTTCTTTGGAGGCTGTCCTTGCCTGTGGTTGGGTGCCAGCAACAGGAATCTGGCTGTGTGACATCCTCTGTCAGTGGTTCCCACTTGGTGAATGGGCTTATGTTGGGCAGAGGAAGCTGCTGTACAAAGTGGGGCTGAACTGGGGGGTGCTGGTCAAGGGCTGGACCCTCTGGTCAGGGACCTGGAGGCCCTCACAATTGGTTTTTGTAAGAGGGGCATTAGGGGAAAGAGGGTGAAGCAGGTCAGGGTTTTGAACTAACCAGCCAAAGAGTGTAATGTAAAAGGAGTGTCTCAGACCCCTTGCAGTTCAGCTGGGGAGATGATGTAATCTAGCGTAAGTCCTGAAGGATGAGCTTTGTCAGCATGTGCAAATCAGGAAGGTGGAAAAGGTGCAAGAACAGGAGTGAGCATTGAGTTGTTTCCTGCCCAGAGTTGCGTCCTGTGTTCCCCTTCTTTTCTCATATGGCTCTTTTCTGTCAAACCTCTTATTTCTTCTTAATATTTTGTAAAGCCTCCCCCTGGCCCTTATTCCCTGTTTACCACTGAAGGGAACAAATGTGGATATAGACTGTCATGGCTGCTTGACAGACCTGGAGCACAGGAGTAAAGTAATAACCTCTATTCTAACTGCAGGAAGGTGGGGAACTAGCACTGCTTTTTAAATTTGCTGTAGGGATAAACCAATTGGAAATTGGATTGTTGTCAGCGAAGTGGACAGAGTCTCATTGCATTGGAAGGGGGGAACAGCACTTTTTTTTTTCTTTTTTCTGATTTTTTTTTGGGGGGGGGTTCTTTTTTGGTTTTTTGTTTTGTTTTGTTTTTTTCTGTTTTAAGTGAATGTTTTGGGGGGAGTTCGTCATTGAGCATTTCCAAGAGAAATGAGGAATCCCAGACAGCTTCAACATAGAGTCAGCTGTTATCTCTGCTGCCTCAGGATGGGAACGATAAAGCTTGGAAGCATGTGTGATAGGTTTCTATGGAAAGTGGCACCAGAGATGAGAGACAACTTATGGCAGGTGCCAGTTAGTGTTTTGCAGTGGACATTACTGAGAGCCGGCCCTGTGGAAGTCTGAAAACACCACCGGAAGAAAAACAAACCAAGATGGCTCCTTCTGCGTATCCAAGTGCTCCTCATTTGCATATTTGCCTCATTTGCGTATTAAGTTGTGCCTCATTTGCGTATGTAAATACATGCCGGTCAGTGTGCAAATTAGCCTCGTTCCTCTGCCCCTGAAATCAATGTGCATTGTTAGTGTGTGGTAAGACATCGATGAGTGGGTGTGGAGCTCTGCGGGTGCGCTGGCACCGGCCTGCAGGGAGGGCAGGGGGGCCAGCCTGGCCCAGATGTGGCCCCCAATGCTTTGTGTCAGTGGTCAGGGAGAGAGGGGCGTGGTCTCACGAGTTTATTTTTGTGCATGCTTTCTTAATAAAAAGAAAAAGTGAATGTTTATGGTTTAACTGTTTTGGTGCCAGTATTGATTTTTTTCCTTCAGCGGCGCCTGTCAGGATGGCCTGGTTCCCACCTTAGAATTTGGGCGTGGACATGGCTAAATGGACAGCCCACACCTGGATGTTCTTTAGATGGAGACTTTGTAGGATGTTAAGAGCTGAAGGTTCTCCCAGCTGGCTGTTCTCAGAGCAGTGAGGTCTGAGAGTCTATCCATTCATGCTCACCAGAAAGGCATAGTGAAAACTCTACCAGTGCTTAGTGTCTATTTGTCATCCTATTTGCTGGCCTTTCTCTTTTAAGGAAGAACTAACACAAAAAGCAGATTTTAAACTGCTTTCATAGAGTACCTAGTAAATATATTTCTGGTTTTCAGGAGCAGGAAACATACTCAACCTTGGGAACCCCCCAAATAGCCTGACTGGATGAAACTTTTTCTCCACTGGAAGGACTTAAGAAGCCCATCTCTCTTGTAAAGAGAGCCTCGTGTGATTAAGCCACGACATGGTCATTCTACCTTCCTGGGGTCAGATTGGAGGTTATCACTTCTCAGTTCCAGGGTTTTGCCGAATGTCTGATAGTCTAGCAGTCATCCAGTCTAGGTCATCAGTGACTGCAGCTGCTGACATTCTGCTCATGTGCCATCAGAAAAAGCAGTAGGTACATTTGGATAATCTCAAACGGCTTCCTAAAAGCAAGACTTTGGGCTCTGGTGGTGGAGGGAGTGTTGGGGAGACAGCAAGTGTACACATGCTAATGAACATAGGTACAGCATGTGCACTGACCAGTTACTACCATACAGTGATGTATTTGGCAGGACAAAGAAATAGATTGGGCATCTACCAGGGCAAAAAAGTCAGTTCAATGCAGCTGACTGCGGCAAGTGCTGTTTTAATGCATGGCTGTAAGGAAATACAGCAGTACCCTCTAGGGAAATTTTCAGATATTCCTACACTCACCTCAGAGCCCTAGTAGATTCAGAGGAAAGATGTGATGACCTTCCAAGGAAGGAGCAACATCCAAATTAGTTTTATCTGCACTTTATCAGAGACGGGAGATGTAGAACACAGACATAAAAATAACATTCTTGCCTCAATTGAGAGGTTCAGCTACATAATTCCCACCACAAATCTGTAGATAGCTCTGCTTGCTTAAAATAGTCTGCATAGGTTAAAATACTGTGTCTTCTGCTTCACCGATCATCCCTCAGATTACTTTCGGTGCTTCCAACTTCCCATTTCTAGAATATAAAGGGGGTTCTCTGTCATGAGCTGAATGATTGCAGTATCCTGGGTTGGAGCTGTGGATTAATCAAGCATATTGGGGCAAAACCACCTGCTAAGCTGAGTGATTGATGTGCAGCACTGGAGCTTGCTCTTTCTACAATGGTGGTAGGAAATACTGCATTACAAGGTGCTGCTCAGATTCTTCTCTGCTGAAGTCTGGCTTCTGTGAAGGCCTGAAGATGTGAGTTCCTCACTAAAGGCACCTTCCAAGATTCTTTGCACTGATTGCCGTACCTTTGCCCTGAAGTGCCGTCCCACAAAAACATAAAGCAGGGGGTTGATGCAGCTGTTGGCATATGCAAGTGCTGTAGAGAGGTGGTCCCACAGGATCAGTGACTCCATCAGTCCTGTTCCAAGACTAGGTATAATGGAGAGAATCCCAACTATATGGTATGGAGCCCAGCAGATGAAGAATGCAGCTACCACAAACACAACTGTTCGCAGTGTCCTGTTGCTTGGCTTTTGAAACTGATTTGCACGTGTTCTGAAAGCAATGAGGGTGTAGCAAGCTGCCATTATGCCAAAGGGGAGCACAAAGCCAAAGACAGCCCTAGTGCTGTTTATTACTGCCAAGGTAAGGGGTACAGAATAATTACTGGTATCTTCCCACAAGTCACTGCCATTGTAGGATGAGTATTCTTCCCATACCTCATAAAAAGACACATTTACAGATGCATTTACGGGATCGTCTATGTAATCATCAACTCCGAAATTGTACCCGCATTCTGTTTTGCCAGCGTAAGTGCTTGTCTCACGGTAATAGAAGACAGGGCAGCAGAAAATGATGGCCAGCATCCATATGCCACTGCATATTAGCGATATAAATTTCACTGTTCGGTGGTTCTGACACCAGACAGGTTTCATCACCAGGAGGCACCGATCAATGCTGATGGCCACGAGTAGGAAGACACTAGCAAACATGGTGAAGATTATGACTGACGGAATGACTTTGCAGAGGAACCAGCCATAGGGCCAGTGTTCATGGAGGGCCAGGTGAACAACAAAAAATGGCAAGGACAAGCAGCACATGATATCAGCCACAGCAAGGTTTAGAAACCAGACAGTGTTCACAGACCTTTTCATTTTCAGACCAGCTACCCAGATCACCAACCCATTGCCTGGGATACCAATGATGAAAACAGTGGTGAAGATAACAATGGAGACAATTGATTCTGATGCATAATATACAGCAGCCTGTTCCTGTGAACTGCTATTGCCCAGGGCTTGAGGCATTCTGCAGCTATAAAACAGAAAGCAAGTTAGTAGCAATTCACATCCTTGGTTCTCATTAGCCACGCAAATGCAGGGTGGAGCTTTCCTCTAGTGGGCGGCCACCTGATTAAAAGAGGGCTCTAGGGAGCGCAGCAAACAGGAGTGGGTAAATGGGGGTGTGGCAGGGTAGTTTGCGTGGCAGTTCACGCAGGCAGGGCAAGCAGGCAGGGGTGCAGGTTTCCTCCTGCTAGTGGGGTTTTTAGTTCATTGTTTGTTGTGGTTTTGTTGGTTGGTTGGTTTTGGGTTTTTGTTTTTTGTTAGTAATGGTTTTTACACAATGTAAAACTGCAGTTAGTAAAAGTTGCGAAATAGAACCTTCCAAAAAGGATGCATCCGTCCAGACTCCTTCCTGTGCAGAGTGTTTGAGCCCATCAGTGGTACCTGCCTGCAGTGTGAACAGGTGAATGATCTCTTGCTGGTGGCTGAGCTTAGGGAGGAAGTTGAAAGACTAAGGAGTATTAGGGAAAGTGAAAGGGAGATGGATTGGTGGAGTTCCACCCTTCCATCCTTCAAGGGAGGCCCACCAGGAGTCAGAGGACTCCCACTGTCAGCCAATAGGAGGACACCTTGTGGATGAAGAGGAGTGGAAATGGGTCTCTACTTGGGGAGGTAATAAAAATTCCTCCCGACCCCCATCACCCACCCAGGTGCCACTTCAGAACAGGTATGAGGCCCTGGATCTAGAGGGTCAGCCAGATGATGTAGAAGAAAATGAGCTGCCCAGTGGGCCTCTCTATTATGCTTCATCTGTCAGACAGATCACCACCTCTAACAGTAAAAAGAAAAGAAGGGTAGTCGTAGTGGGTGACTGCCTTCTGAGGGGAACAGAGGGCCCTGTATGTCGACTGGACCCATCTCACAGGGAGGTCTACTGCCTCCCTGCGACCTGGTATGGGATATTACTGAGAGACTCACTGGGCTGATTCAGCCTCTGATTATTACCCACTGATAATACTTCAGGCTTGCAATGATAAGATTGAAAAGAGGAGCGTCAGGGCAGTTAAAAGGGGTTTTAGGGCACTGGGTCAAGTGGTTGATAGGGCAGGAGCACAGTGTTCTGCACAGTCCCTTTGGTGGCAGAAAAACGATGAAAGGAATAGAAGAACCCACATTATCAACAAGTGGCTCAAGGGTTGGTGTCATCAGCAGAATTTTGGGTTCTTTGATCACAGGGTAATTTTTTTGCCACCTGACCTGCTGGAACTGGATGGGCTGCATCTCTCTGTTAAGGGTGGAAGGATTTTAACTCATGAATTGGCAGAACTTGTTGAGAGGGGTTTAAACTAGGTTCGAAGGGGAAAGGGGATGCAGCTGGGCTGTCTGGAAGCAGGCCCAAGGGTGGTAAGCCTGAGTTAGGGGTGAAATCAGCAGCTCAGCTGAGGTGAATGTATACCAAGACACGCAGCATGCATACCGAACAAGAAGAGCCGGAAGCCATGGTACAGCACCAAAGCTACGATGTAGTCACCACCATGGAAACATGGTGGGATGACTCACATAGCTGGAGCGCCACACTGGATGGCTACAAGCTCTTGACAAGAGACAGGAAAGGGAGAAGAGGTGGAGGGGTGGCCTGTTACACTGGGGAGGTGTTTGATGCCATGGGTATTTAAACTAATGATGATGAAGTTGAATGCCTATGGGTAAGAATTAAGGGGAAGACCAACAAGGCTGACATCTTGCTGGGAGTCTGTCATCGTCTACCCAAGCAGGAAGAAGAGGTGGACAACTTAGTCTATAAACAGCTGGAGAATGTCTCAGGATCACCAGCCCTTGTTCTTGTAGATGACTTCAACCTACCAGATATCTGCTGGGAACTTAATACAGCAGAAAAAAGTCAGTCCAGGAAGTTCTTAGAGTGTGGAGGACAACTTTTTGTCACAGCTGGTGGGTGAGCCCACCAGGGGAGGAACGATGTTAGACCTGTTGTTTGCAAATAGAGATGGGCTGGTGGGAGATGTGGTGGTTGGAGGCCGTTTAGGGCATAGTGATTATGAAATTATAGAGTTCTTGATATATGATGAGATGAGGAGGAACATCAAAAAGACTCTTACACTGGACTTCTGGAGGGCAAACTTTGGCCTATTTAAGAGACTTATTCGGAAAGTTCCTTGGGAAGCAGCCCTTAAAAACAAACGAGTCCAGGAATGGTGGGTGTGCATCAAAACAGAAATCTTGAGGGCACAGGAACAGACTGTCCCTGTGTGCTGAAAGATGAGTTGACGAGGCAAATGTCCAGCCTGGATGGGCAAGGAGGTTTTGAAGGAACTTTAGAATAAAAAGAGGACGTATCATCTTTGGAATGATGGCCAGGTCTCTCTGGAAGTATTTAAGGAGGTTGCTAAGGCATGCAGGAAAACAATTAGAGAGGCCAAAGCTCAGTTTGAACTTAATTTGACAACTTTTGTAAAAGATAATAGAAAATGCTTTTACAAATATATTAATGGCAAAAGGAAGGGTAAGACCAACCTCTGTTCTCTACTGGATGTGGGAGAGAACTTAGTAACTGCAGATGAGGAGAAGGCAGAAGTGCTTAACACCTTCTTTGCCTCAGTCTTTAGTGGGAAGATGGCTTGTCCTCAGGACAACTGTCCTCCTGAGTTGGTAGATGGTGTCAGGGAGCAGAATGGTCCCCCTGATATCCAGGAGGAGGCAGTCAGAGAACTGCTGAACAGCTTGGATATTTATAAATTTATGGGCCCAGATGAGATCCATCCCAGGGTGATTAGGAGCTGGCAGATGAGCTTGTGAAGCCACTCTCCATAATTTACCAACAATTCTGGCTCACTGGTGAGGTTCCAGATAACTGGAAGCTGGCCAACATGATGCCCATTCACAAAAAGGGTGGGAAGGAGGATACAGGTAATTACAGGCCAGTCAGCCTGACCTCAGTACCCAGTAAGGTAATACAGCAGTTTATACTGAGTGTCATCATGCAGCCCCTACAGGATGGCCAGGGTATCAGACCCAGCCAGAATGGGTTCAGGAGGGGTAGGTCGTCTTTGACCAACCTGACCTCCTTTTATGACCAGGTGACCCACCTGCTGGATGCAGGAAAGGATGTGGATGCTGTCTATTTGGAC